CGACCACGCTGAGGAGGAGATTCGATCTCTTGCCGCTAGAGGCTACAAGGTACTCATAAACATTTTTTCTATGAGTGTGCAATACAGCCACATCTTGGATGCTCTCGAGTTCGCTCTCGATTGAGAGATACAAATGGTTGGCCTCTTCACAAGTGCGGCCGAAGAACATTTCGCGGCAATGGCGATTCCAGTAGGCGCAGGATCATATAATGTGACATGACTGAATTTCTTCAAACCTTGTACAGGTCGTGGTCAATAGGGTCCAGCCCTTACAGTGCTACACTCTTTGAGAGCGACGGGTTCACAGCGCTGGGTTGCTTGTTGTCGATATCAAAGCTCCAGGCGTTGCAAACCCGTTGAAAGTTCTGATACACTAACATTACAAACGACGCGCGACCGTTAAATCAAAAAGGCATTACAAAGAGTCATTAGAGATGCCAATCACGGATACGGATTTTGTGTGTTTTGTGATGGGGACTTTGGTGAATGAGTGTACGTTTACCTGAATAGTCAAGCAACGTTTGAGGACTTTGATAGCTTTAAACTTAATCTAGCCGTGGACCAAGATTCAATATGTTATCTCTGTTTAGTAGTGACGTATCTGGAACGCTACAAACGATGGATTGATAGGGAGCTGAAAAGAATAGGAGACAAGCATTTCATGGTTGAGCTTTGATAATCATGAACTCACCTTAACCGGGAAGCAAAAGCGATTTTTGCACGGGAATGAAGTATCGATAGCTTTCGTGCTGGACTTGGGACTGTCTACTTTGATTGCAACGATATATATATATATATATCGAGTTGATCTTGCAGAGCTTAAGCAGCAATGATTCGAGGTCAATGAGTTTGATGGAAAAGAGCAATTGTATATCACGGTCTCAAGAGTGTATCTTAGTTTTTTTGGAAGGAACGGCTGTCAATCGTGGTCCCCAGAACGTATCGCTGGGGGGAAACTTCCTATGCTGTGAAATGTAGCCGTCTTTGTCAGGGCCAGTGATGAGTGTGAGCAAACTGAAAAGTGCAACCTTTCAAGCCATTTGATGAGGATGAAAAACGACCGTAAGATATGGGCAGAGGGGATACCCTCTGAAGGTAAAAAGAACATTCTATTCTTGTGACGGCGTGATGGTACTGCTGGGCTGACGCAACATGTGACGGACCCAACGAGCGGAGTATAAGCACCACGGGTAAGTTAATGGACGATTGTTCACCTGTGAATAGGGTGAGAGTGGCAGGAAATGATAAGTTTTAACCTTTGTTGGAGTGATACCCATCACGTTCCTCGAAAGAGAGAGCGCGCTAAAAATTCACTGAGTCCTTGCAATCAAATATCGCCCAACGCGATAAGGCCGTTACCAAGGGAGCTCTGACCAGCCATTGATGCTTTCATTAGTGCAAAACATAAAGATGGTTGGTGAGAAAGAAAAGCGGTTCACTAGACACCAATTTACATGGTCAGAAAAGCTTACAGCAAATAGCGAATTGGGCATTTGTATAAAAGGATATATTATTGCGTTTTCGATGCAAACACCGATTTAAGGCAGAATGTGCTTACATTTTTTGCCTTAACCTGATTGATCACATTTATCAAGTGCTGATGTGAACCAGCGATACCCATCTCATTACTGTGAGTATTTCGAGCGGAATAGTTTGGAAGTACATCATAGTACTCATGACGGACAGTCGGCTGTTTACGCAACTGTTGAAGCCACATCGTGGAAACGAATAAATCTATAGCTATTCGCAGTCATTGCAGCGGGGCTGCCGTAGCTGTTTTCTAAGAGGAAGTTAACTAAGGTCAACGACCTTACGTTTTCTACTAGAACCAAGACATGCAGAACGAATATGCAGACGGAAGATATTGAGTACGAATGTAGCGGATCGCAATCCGCTAAACCCAAAACCTTAACTCAAGGCAATGGACTCTTCCGTTTAGAATTGAAACAGCATTTAATTGTTTTTTGCATCAGAGTAGCCAATATTTAGAACCTTAGGATTTCCTGATTAAAAGAAAAACCAATTTAATATGCATAACTACTGGCTGTTCCGCCACGTAGTGGCTTCTTGTTACAGTGTGACCACACCATAGTGTAGCAACACCATGATGTGATTACCCCAACTTGGGTAATCCACACCTTTGTACAGTCGCACCATCTTGTATGACCCGCCCTTTCAAACCAGGGTACGTGTAATGCCGTTACACTCTCACCTATCAACATTGTGAATATTCACAATTCACGTTTAACTGTCGCCTCGTACTATGCTCGCGTGTCTAATACATTTTTACGTCCTCAGGACTTTCTTCAAGCATTCTCTGCTCAACGGGCCTTGTGTCTATGACATGAAATACACCCAGCCTCGCTGATTCTGAGGACGCACGAGGGAAGAGCTCATTTCCGCCTCTTGCACGCGGTGCAACTCCGGACAGTACACCCGCGGCTTTAGGGGAAGCACATATCAAGGCCACAGAAACCTGGCGCCACACACCGCGCTCGAAACAGGTGACGGATTTTCTAGTCGAGAAGTTGGAGGAAGTCGGCCACGATTCGGATACTCCGTTCCCAGGATGGGTAAAAGAGGAGGGCGAGGTGCGCCAACGGCGCGACGGGAGCCCAGCTCGAACCTTGCGGACGTCATGTCCGTTCTCGGCCTCTAGACTTCCGGAGGAAGTATTATTATTGTTATAATTGCCTCGGTGGGGCACAGAAGCGGTAGTCAGAGGCTGCCCACATAGCGGCTCTCATGCGCTCGTATCCGCGTTCGGTCCTTGTACCTAGTGTGGAATGCGGCTTCTGCTCGGCGGATCTCGCTACGTAAGCAAAAGACGCGATCACTCGATCGTTGGGCGTCTACGTAGTCGGGCTCCAGGCCAGTGCCAGGCTGAGCTTGACCATCGAAAAGCTCTCCTTGCTCGCTCCTTGGTCCCCCAAGAACTTCCAACGAATAGGTACCGCGCTCGACTTCGAGCTCAAAGAGGAGGCTCTCTTGTACCCGCAATGCGAACTATTCCGGTGGTATGGCGAAACCGCTGCATATGATGAGGAGCTCTTTATGCGATGGGTGCAGCGGCACCATAAACTTCCTCGCTGTCTAACTTACAGCGAAGTCACAAGGAAGTGGACGCGCGCGTCAAACGCAATCTTCGATTTAAGTTGCCGAACATGAGGTGCAACGCCGACTTCACGCGTTTTATCGCCCTGCGATACATAGAATAATCCATCACGCTTTCGCAAGCTCTGTGGTTTCTAACACGGATAATTCTACAGCCACAGCAGCTCAGGGCCATAGCTTGAGCCCAGCTCATGGTCCTCCGGCTAACCTGGCTACTGCCGAGAAATTGCAGTGCGCACGACGACGCGAAGCATCATGATCCTTCTGGTCATAAGCGTCCATGACGTTTGAAAATTCTTGCCAAAGTGGCACTTCAAACTCCCGCGAGTTCTCGGAGTCGGGTATTCCCGCACCTTCACAAGATATTAGGTTCAACCCTGTCGACGATGTCGACCCACAAGGCGTTCCACGTGGTAGTGGACGTCACCATTTTGGAAGACAAAGTCCGCCTAAAATCGGCATTCCGTCGAGCATCTTGCCGAGTTTGAAAAACGCTATGCGGAAGTCCACGAGAGGCTGGAGCACTGTGCACCGACTGCCTCACGTTGAGGATTATAGCGCTCTGACGGAGGAGCTCCTTGCCGTCGGGCAGACGAATACGTCACGTTGTGCGACGGTGGAGCGCCTTGCGCCGTTGAAAACGGAAATTGTGGCACTCCGTGCTCGAAACCAGCTGCTGGTTCAGATTTTGGGTGGCCGAGTGCCTTTGGGCGCCGCCTCGGCGCCAACGCTTCCACGTTCACATGCGCTAAATCCCGGTACGGCTTGAGCTAGCCCACATAACCCACCGGGTGGATGCGCCTCCTTCTCCGAAGGATCAGCGTATACGCGAGGCCTCGCTTGGTCTCGACGTTGAAAGGTCCGGTATTCCGTGAACAAAGCTTCGTCTTAAAGACAGCAGAAACTGTATGTGTAGGAAGATTTTAGCATTTAATAAAACCCAGTATCCCACCTCAAAGTTTTCTCCTTCTTCTGCTTCTTCCATCTGCATATTCTGTCTGCATGTATTGGCATCCACCCATCACTTCGTGGTTTGATGACTCACCAAAGCTCCACCAGGAGACGGGCGCGTAGCGCCCAAGTAATTCAACCTCCAATCGATCCGTAGCTCGTGGTGTTCCAACCATGCCATACCAAGGATAAGGTCATACCTTGAATCCAAGTCCAAGACTAAGCCGCGTTCCACGCTATCGAAGTCAACAAACTTGACATCAAGGTCCACAGGGACCCTCGGCACATTGACACGCGTCCCCAACGCTAAGCGAACAGTGACAGTGTCACTCAACCGCGTTTCTAGCGCCTCGGCGTTAAGCTGGTTTCCTTCGATCGTAGAGCGTTGAGTAAACACTCTGGGATCTTCCGTGGCTCTTCAAGCCCTTCACGGGCGCTTTTTTAGCAAGCCCGGCTTGCATACACGTTTCGTGTTCAAGAGCACGGAGCTTTTCGGGGATGAGCCTTGCTACCTCCTACGAGGCCCAACAGAACTCAGTTCTTCTCCAGTAGGGTGCCCCGCGCCAACTCGGTTATGTCGATCCCCCGCGACAAACCAGACTGGTACGAAGCATGACGTCGGCTCTAAGAATCTTTACGCGCCTTGCAACGAGGCAACCTATCCGAAGATGTCGGTTGTCTCCACAAACAAAACACCGTTGGGTGTTTAAACGCTGCCCGGCAGCTCGGAGCTCTCCCTGCTTGCAGTCTAACCAGGCATATCGCGTGCGATCGCGTCTTCTTGTCACCCGACAGGGCAAGAAGGAATTGGTGAGCTTTGTCCAAAAATCGAGAACTCTCATTGCCGAGATGGCAGCCGATCCTCTCCCTGAGATAGTCACAGTGACCGTCTTTACGGAGGGCTTCCGCACTGGCGTGGCCAGAATGAAAGTCTTCCGTGTGCATTCGTCCTCATTTGAAGAGGCGGTGAAAGTGGCATTTATTGCCGAATTCAGGTTCAGGTTGGCACGACTTAGTTGGAATATACACTCCAACAGCTCGTCGAGCGGGCCTATTCCCATGGATCTCAGCTATGCTGAGGA